GCTATGTTCTGATAAGAGATCTATTGAAGTCAGCTTTGTACCAGGAGACAAGATGTGGTTGTACAATCCCTGGAAGACCAAAGGGAAGTCTCCGAAGTTGCCTTCTATATGGGAAGGCCCATATGACATAATGGATCGTCTCTCGGACGTGACTTTCCGACTTGGGACGAAGTGAACAACGGAACAAAAGACGCCACTGAAGACGTGTCACCTGGAAAAGCCACTGTCGAAGAAGAAACTCTACTCGGTTTTGAGAAGGGAAACAGTGAAACTCTTGATGAAGTTACTACCACTGATGTAACTGTTACCGATGATAGGACAATTCCCGATGGAGCAGATGTACCTCACGTGAAGCAGAAGCCAACGAGACGGAGACCAGTGTGGAAGAAGATACGTCCCGTAAAATTAAGAGACTTTGTCGAATTTTAATTTTGCATTTGTAAATTCTGTACAATTAATTAAGTTATTGTTAATTATCTATTGATTTAATGTAAGTGGTTATTGTTCGGGACGAACAATACTAAGGAAGCGGCAGTATTATGACAGCGGAAGTGACGTGACGCTAGTAACACGTCATGATATGTTCGAAGGTTTGTGAATGCTCGAGTGTTTGCTAGATGTGCGGTATTCTTTTATATAAGTGCGCCAGACAATGAATCGATATAGAATTGCAGACAGACAGAGACGGACAATTGAGTCAAGCGCGGTAATAAGTAAGTTCGTGAATCGTTCGTTGTGAATTATAGCGTGTGTTTAAGTTAAATTGATTGTGGAAATTAAGTGTATTGCAAAGTTGTATTGAGAAATAATAAATTAGTTTTACTTAAAAACGGACTTGTATCGCTGAAGTTTTTCGGAAGGAATTTTTACGGGAAATTAACAAACGACCAGTGACGTAACAATAGAAAACACGTTGAAATTGAACTCAACGACAAGCAAGTCCTTTGGTTTTGACACAAAAATTGAACTTAATTACTTTATCTGAGGTATTCTGAATGACGTTTACTAGTTGCACACATACAGTGGAATAGTGCAGGCTGAATCGAAAACATTCGAAAAGGAGAAGGATGGGAGCAAGAAGAGTTAAATATCACATTGTCGAGTCAGCAGAAGATTCTAGTGAAATATCTCATGATCCTTAGCTTACTTTGAACTATCACTCCCATTAAAGGTATTCTAGGGAGATAGACCCTCAACTAACACTCACATGTTAAAGTCCCTGTACCACCCCTTAGAATGATTATGATTTCATCCCAGAAAATGACACAGAAATTGTTTAAGCCTTATGAAATAATCGTGGTAGTAAGACTCATTTGCCTACGATAGAGGATCAGCGCAAATATAGGATCTTTCCACACCCGGTTCATAACGATGTTGCAACTACATGCGGAACGCTGCATGAAAATTTTGAAAAATTACTTGAAAATATCTAACTAAAGAATATTCTTATGAAAAAGTAAAATGCGGTGATATTTTCAATGATCATATCAACATGCCACTTTCCAGTCAGTAAAATATAAACACAATCTACTGCACAACAAAATAAAAAAGAACATGGTCTGAGCAAGTACTAGAATAACAATAATATTTTACTCAAAATCTTGTAATGGGAGGGTAATACATTAAATGGTATAAAAATATATAAAAGACGAACAAATAGTTATCGGAGATAATTGTCAAAATAAAACTCAAAAACTCATCGAAATGACCTAAATTATCACGACCAAGTTAATGGAATAACAGTGAATATAAACAAACTAAAAATAATATATGAGAATTGAATTAATACACAATAATAGAATAATATATATATTACGTTCTCTAGGTGTTGCAGATCTCGTTACAATCATAACTAAAAATGGCAGCCTCCAAGAAAAAGCGTGGCACTAATGATATGGAAGTTGATAATGGGAGAGAAGAAAAAGGTGAAGATCATGAGCATGATAATTCGGAGCCAGAAAATAATAGTTCTGACGATGAACTAGTTGACACAGTAGGTTTTGTAGCTTAGATATTTAAATATGATAAGTAATAATAATAGACATGGGTGATGTAAGTTGTAACTACAAATTACAATTTGTACAAATATTGTAGTGTAGTTATAAGTTGTACTGTTGAGTGTTGTCAAGACTACCAGAAGCGTCGGAAGCACCCCCACTTTTATATATTTGACTTATATAGCAACTGTAAATTACTATATTAATTTTGGGGGGGGGGCTGCCTCCATAACCGATTATATTGAGCTGCCTTTGGCAGTACGGGAGCTGCCTTTACTTAACAGCTCCTTATACTTCATATCTCTCATTGTATGATCTACATGTCTAGCCAAGCACCTCCACTTTACAACTCATTCTTACACCATTGAGTGCAGCTTGTACGTGTAATTTCAGTTTTATATAAGTACTGAAGTATACGTTACAGAGTAGCAGCATAACTTTAAGCTAACATGTTATTTAAATAATGATAACTTAGTCTGTATCCGTGAAGGTAAAAACACTAGATGTAATTTTTTTGCTCCAATCTGAATCCACATCTGTTTCAACATCAGCAAATAAATGCCTATCTTGTGTCTCTTACAAATTACAAGAAACAAACAAGCCCTTTACAATGTACAGCCTGCAGGTTTTTGTAATAATACTTCTAGTATTAGTGTAGTAGTATCAAATACCTTACCTAAAGTGGAATACCACTGTTGTCTTTTCTTAGCTTAACAACACTTCTAGTAATGATGATGGTAATAACTATTATAAAATAATTAGTTGGAGTTTATCATCACATGTTCCGAGTAAGATCGTACTGTCATGGGATAGTAATGCTAAAAAAGTAACAGTAGCAACACTGCCAACAATGCTGCAGTTACAACTAAACTTTGGAGTGCAGTTAAGACAGTCATATTCATGGTACATAGGCACAGAGTACAAATTCAGAACCAAAGAAATGATAGAAACATTTGTTTAAGTTTTTCCTGTTGAAATAACAGTATTTGATAAACAGTGTTAAGACAAATGATTTAAATTACTTATTTTGAAGAATGTTTCCAAAAGAAAACTGAAAAATTGATTTAATATAAAAATTATCCAACAGCTAGAAAGAGAAAAAAAGGAATTATTATTTGTGAAGAAACATAAGTGTAAATGTTCATCAGTCTTACCATTTTTGTGCTTCAGTCTTCATAACAGTAAGGGGTCATTTGGCCCAAGGTTGTCTCTGTTACCCACTCCTGAACAAAATTTAAGCCACCCCTCAATTTTCAGAAATTTATCAATTCCTGTCCTAGACCTTGTTTGTGAAATTTGCAGGTTGGAGGAGAAGGAAAGCTGCCCAAAATAGAGTAGAGGTTATATGTTTGTGAAATGTGCAGGTTGGAGGAGAAGGGAAGCTGCCCTAAATAGAGTAGAGGTTATATGTTTGTGAAATGTGCAGGTTGGAGGAGAAGGGAAGCTGCCCTAAATAGAGTAGAGGTTCTATGTTTTTAAAATGTGCAGGTTGGAGAAGGGAAGCTGCCTTAAATACAATAGAGGTTCTATAGGAAGTGATGTGCAAACTGTGGGACATGGCAGCAAGAATTAAAGGGTAGTTAAGCTTTTACATGTAAGGGATACAGTAGCTAATAATGTCTTTCAGAAAGTTAAAAACAGTACAGTTAGGGCTATGTGTAGTAGATTTAATTGTAATAAGCAGGTTATATAAAGCAGACTTCAGCCTTTAGCTTATGTGCAGATGTGGGAAGGAAAACAAAAGGAAAGATAGAGATAGAAATTTAAAAGTTAAGAAGTTGTATAGGATAGTCTGTGTGGTAAAGAAAAGAATTAGATTATGTTACCCAGGAGCAGGGGATATAACTGATACTATCAGTGATATAGTAAAGGGTGCTGGCAGTGTTGTAGTCGTTTTTATGCACATAGGTGCTAATGATGTAGGGTAGTCAGGTAAAAGGAGCTAATTGATCAGTACAGGGGATTGATAAAGGCATTTAAAGAAAAGGGCCATAACATAATTCTATTAGGGATACTGCCAAGACTTAACCGTGAGGATGAGATTATAAGTAGGTCATTAGGGCTGAACATTAGGTTTAGGTAAGGATGAGCAGATTGACTGGTTGAACTTGTGGGATCAGTTTCATAAGAAAAGGAAGCTTTCTGAATATATGTGGTTAACATTTAAATAGAGTAGGGGCTGTTTATTTGCAAAAGCTATTAACTCAGCTGCAAAGGTAGCTTTAAACTAGGACTAGACTTTAGTGAGGGTTAGGATGTAGAGAAAAATTTAGTGTAGGAAAAAGTACAGAAGTAGTTTTAAATGTGAGCTAAATTGAAGTATAAGAAATAAAATAGATGAGCACCAGTCAGAATGAAACATTTTGGTACAAGTGAAACAACTTAAACTTGGTTATAGGTAGACAATTTTGATCACAGAAGGTTACTAAAAATACAGGGTTATAGGTTATTTAATAGGGATGGATTATTAAAAATAGGGATAGAAATGGTTTTTATATGTAGAATGTGAGTTATATCCTATTGAAGTTGAGGATATCAAAGATAATAGCAGAGAGATTGAATTTATTTGGGTTTCTGTTAGTAGATATAATGGTAGAAGGCTTTCAGTTGGAATTTGTTATTGGTAACCGGATGAAATTGATGATGTTAACAAGAAACTTCACAGTGAGGTTAAGATTTTGGCTGTTAATGTGATGATGATAATTATGAGGAATTTTAATTTCAAGCATATAGACTAGGAAATGTTAGAGTCAAACTATGAGGAAGACAGGTTTTTAGAAACTGTTCAGGATGGTTTTATTCATCAATTGGTCAAGGAACCTACAAGGAACGAGGCTATTTTAGATTTATTATTAACTTCCTATATAAAAATGGTTGATTGGTGAACATCTGGGTGAAAGCAAACATGGTTGAATTAGATTTGTTGTTTTGCTGCCCATGGAGATAAGGAATATTGAGATTTTGGTTCCAAATTTCAAAAAAGCAAATTTTGAAGGGGAGAGACAAGAATTATCTGTTGTGATTTGGCCAACTAAGTAATTGGAGATATTGATCAAGTGTGAAAAACATTTTTAAATATTCAAGATAAGTATTTTCCTTATAGAAAAAGAGAAAGAATAGCTGGAAATAAAAACCAAGTTGGTTCATGAAGATTATGAAGGATTAACTAAAATAAAAGAAATATAAACTTAAGAAATTTATATTGACTGCTATGATGGGAGACTTGGAGGTTTATAGAAGATCAAGAGACTTGGTCAAGCAGAACATTAGGAACTCAAAAAGGGTCCATGTAAAAATGGTTGGTTGAAAAATGTAAAAATTAATAGTAAGGATTTCTTTAAATACATTAAGGGTAAGCAAAATATAAGGCCTTCTAAGGGATGATAAAAGTAAGGCTCATTTTCGATTATTATTAGATGGCAGGATTACTGAATTCCACCTTTTCTTTAATATTTACCAATGAAAATTTCAGCAACATTCCTCAAGTTGAACAGTTAATAGATGGAAACAAGATTGAACAAGGTTATCACTTTAATTCTGATTTTGTTAAGAAAAAATTGGTAAGTTTCAAAAAATGATAAATCTTTTAGGCTAGTTATTTACCTAAGGGTTTAGAAGAAGATTAACTACTGGAAATGTGATCAACATGCTGTTATTTTTGTGTAAGTCCTTGAATAATGGGCAAGCCCCAGAAGATAAGAAGTTGACCAATGTTATTCCTCTTTTCAAAGCAGGTGATAAAATTTGCTCAGTTTTGAAATTCTCTTATAAAAAATACTTTGAAAAATCATCTAACATCTAAATGTTTAATCTAAGAAACTCTGATAGCCATAAAAAACTTGTTTGATTTTGGTTTATTTAAATATTTAAAAGTATAAACTTTACAAATTAGTTTTCATAATAACTGCCTACTGAACCTTTTGATATGAGTGAGAGATCATGGAGGAACTGCATTCCTGTTGCAGCTAGTTTGATCAAATTCCCTAAGATTTGTTTGTTACTCATCTTTTATATGTATGTAACTTCTCAATGAAGTGTATTAACTCCTTAAACTAGAATGGATGCTGCAAGCACCCGGTCATAAATCGAATTTACCCATTGGACGGTGACAGCGTCCAATAACATTTATATCTCTTTGGCTGAAAACTAATCAAAACCACGTCATTATCCACAAAATTAAGAAAATTGAAATTTTATAAAGTATGATGATAATTATTAGGAAATCATTAAAATAATTCTGGCAGAACACATACTTGTCAGAACAAGAGTTGATACTGTAAATATACTTTAAAAAGAACAACTAACTACACAATATATAATTGTAATTTTTTTAGTGAACATATGGTATAGATATGATTTACTGGAAAATTAAAATATGTGAATGAATTTTAGTGTTGTAGATACATTAAAGTTTAAGGATGGCTTGAATGGGTAATGAAGAAAACTTTATTACAAGTTTAACGTAGTAACAAGTGTACAACTTTTCAACAAGGTTTTGTTATCATCAGGGTTCCTTGTCATCAAATCTGAAGTCATGGATGCCTTTTGAAACTAATTCTTGTGCCTAGATAATCATCAATGACAGGTCTGGTGCTTTTCAAGTAACAACCACATGCGTTTCAGATGGATGATCTCAGGTTTATATAAAAAAATTGATAAAAGATGTTTCGTATCAACGAGTTTTACTGAAATTATGATTATTTGATGTTTTTAGTCTCTGCATCCTGTTTCACATCTTTAATTGCTAAGTATATTGTTGGTAAAACATCATTGGTGACAGTGTGGATTCATCAAGAATAAATGCATCTGACAGCAGATAGCTTTAAGTTGTTATGAGTATGGGTTAGTTTGTCTACTGGGGTGGCACAACTGGCACTATCTCTTGTTACATGTAATGATAACACAATTAGAGTATATACATTTCAGTTTTTAGGATTCTTTGGTTTTATATGTGGTATTAACAAAGTGTTTAAAGTTGAGATTTTTTTGATAAAAAAAAATTTGGATTTTAATATTTCTTATATAATGACGAGTATATATGTTAATTATATTTGAATTCTTTTCTTTAGGAAGTGCAGGTTGATTTTGAAGCAACAACACCTGATGATAGTGATTTCCATGGCATTAAGAAACTCCTTCAGCAGGTAAAGATACCTGGATTTTAAAAACACAGCCTGATTTACCATTTGTTTGCATTCAATAATTTATCATGAGAATTATCAAAGGATACGTGTGGGTTTCATTTAAAAATGGTTATGATGTTATATTGAAAGTTTTAATTTCCATTTATTCGTCAGACAGATTTTACATTTATAATCACCATTTAACTCTCAAAACATTCATTAATGCTTCATAACAAATAACCCATGAACAGAAAGCTATTCAGCTCAGTAAGATAAGTTAGTTGCTCAAACATCTATTCCCCCAATTAAAATTAAAAAATATTTGTTTGATTATAAATTTATACAAAAACATTCTTAAAGTTAATTCTTCAATCAACATAACTTGATATATTATCAAATATAACTTGTGTGTGAGAAGTGACCCTTTTGAGTTAGGGATCTGATTGATGTGTTTAAATTGTTAAGAGAATTGATATTGTTGATGCATCATCTTTTTTTCGTACTTAATGGTGAGAATGGTAGGACTAGGGAGCACAAATTTTGGCAGAGTAGGAGACATCTTTTAGCTGAGACAGCTTTATTTCTCTAATAAGGTGGTTGGCCTTTAGGTTGGGTTGTCTTCAGATGTGGTAGATGTAGTTAACTTTAAGGAAGTACAAGGGAAAGCTTGATAAGTATTTGAACGGTAAAGGCTGGATTTGAGTGTTTTATTTTAAAATTTGTTTCAGTGGATGAGGTGGCATGGATGGACCAATAGGTATATGTATGATTGTAATTTGGACTTACCAAGCTTCAAATTTTTATGCAAAGTATTGTGCTACATACTGATATTTTAACAGTTTTTGATTTCTGTAAATATTCTTCTCACAGATTCTTAGAATTTAAAATCAGTGTTTAAAAGTTAACAAAAAAACATATAAAGTAATGAAATTCCATCTTATTAAAAAAAATAATTAAATAACCCCACTACTAAAGATAGCTAGCTACTTTCACATATCACTTGATCTATGTTTCTGTTTGTTTGTAGATGTTCCTCAAAGCTCATGTGAACCTGTCGGAATTAGCTGACTTAGTGATAAAGCAAAATTATGTCAGTAGTGTGATCAAGGTAAGATTTACTCATAATAATAATAATGAACAGTTATAAATATGAAGAGGTATAAAACCATCTTTTGAGATCAGTCTTTTTTAGCTACACTGGGGGAGTTAGAAATAATTTGGTAATCATGATTATAGAGTTTAAGTAATATAGAATTTAATATTTTTAGCACTAATGTTATGTCACACATTTCATAACAAATTAGAACAAGGTGTGAGTCAACATTTCTGAAAAAGCTAGTATTGTTAGACTTCATAAGACAGATTGTTTTATTTTTATCTGATAAAGGAGCTTACCTTTAAATCTAATGGTCTTTACAGAGTAAATTAAATTTAGCTCAATTATTAATTTAAAGTAAAGTTGATGACATTGTAGAAGTTGTTTTTAACTGAGATGTTTTACAAACTGGATTATGGTGCTGTATTTTATGTTTGAAATGTTGGATGCTTCTAATGCATATTTTTTCTTAATTTTCTTTAGTGTTTGAGAACAATTTTCTATGTTTTTATATTAAAAGGGATCTGGTTTGAAGTGGCTAATGTGCAGAATAGTTTAGGATTTGTGAATATTTTATTTTGAAGAGGGTTAAGGGAACCAGAAGCTGTAAGACTGACAGTTGACATGTCTTAACAGGATGAGATTTCTTATTTGCAGGTCAAGAATGTATCACAGACAAAAGTTAGGGTTCAATAAATAGAAACATATCTATTAAAAATAGAGCTGGGCAACTAACTCAATTAATTAATGTGATTATTTACCTATGAGCATTCATTACACCCACTAGTACTGTATAAAATAACCAATTAGTCAAAATTACAATTAGATCACAAAGATAATCAGGTAATTAAAATGAGTGTTTCTGAATATTTCTGTTTTCAGTTATTCCAAATATACAATTAATTTGCCATTATGACTTATTATTAGTATTTATTTCAAAGCTGTTTAGTGTAATCTATTAGTGACACATCTTATGAAGATAATGAACTAATTGATATTAGTGTTGCTAATTATTACTGTTTTTGATTATCCCAATTATCCAAGGCTAATATGAAGGTAATCAGTTAGTTGAATGTGAACACTGAATGAGTCCAACAAAATTTCGCCAATCATCCAGCTTTAACTAGCAGTAGTGTTTCTTTAGGTGGCACAGTAAAACACTGAAAATTCTTGGAGAAATAGGGTAAGCTAGAAAGCATGACTGGACAGTAATAGCAGTGGGAGAAAAGTAAATTGTAGGAAAACTGCTAGATTCTGAAAACTACATGTCTAAATAGGAAAAAAATGTTAATTGTTAGTGGGAGTTTTGGTAAAATGTGCAAAAAGAAGGAAATAAAATTAAAGGAATGAATACAGATACCCTGATGACAAAAGTAAACTGTTCTTTTGTAAGTAAAATTGTAAGATATTGAAGTGAAAATATGAAGGTTAAAGCAAAAAAGTACAACACAAGAATTGTCTTAGTCACAATTTGTCAAGTAATTGCTTATACAGTCACTGCTAATTTTAAATTTTGACTTGTTTTTTTAATTCTGATTCTTTCTACAATTTTCTAAAGTATCTTATACAGAAACTGCTGAGGTATTTAATCTCTAGTGTTTCATTCAACATTCAGACATGTGAAACAGTGACATCTATCAGCCAAACTCTTGTGTCATTCAGGTACACTTATTTCTAACAGAAAGTTATGAGTGTCTACAATATACAGAATATTCAGGAAGTTTTAAGCAGAGAATAATTTTTAAGCATACTCAAGTGAATGAATAAAAACAAATTTTTATTCTTATACATACAGAATACTTCCAGGACTTTTAACTTGTACTAGCCAGCTTTTATGTTTGTTATATATGATTGCAGTTTGTTGTTGGAGTGGGTAGAAGTCTTGTATACAAAAGATAAAAACAAGAACTATATTCATGATATATTGCACTATTTAGGCCAGAACAAAAGTTCCTATTGTGATATTCCATTATCCCAGATTATTTACTTGAACAATTATTTTCATTGTACATGCTCGTACTAACTAGTACAAGTCTCTGTACCACCTCTTTAAATGGAAAGAATCTCATTCCAGAGTAGCATGTTAATAAACAGGGTCAAGCAAGTGTAAGCCTTACTGGACAGTTGTTGTAGTAAGTAACCTTTATTTAAACGAGTGGATTAGCACTACTTTATGACATTACTACATGTTAGTTGGTGCACTGCATTAATGTTTTGAAAAAATTACCTGAATAAAGATATGATCTTTACTAGATAAGGTATGAATAGGTGAAGTTTGCAATTTCTTTACATGTAATACTTATAATATTTAAGTACAAATATGCAGATATTTATATTACAGAACAGCACAATTTATTTTAAGCTTGTAACAAGAAACAATTTACAGAGTTACTGTGTATGTGGTGCCATCTTAAAAACAACAGCCACAAAAAAGTTTTTTTATAATATAAATTTAATTGTTTTTTATTAAAGAATTGACTTTTAAAAATATGAAATCTTTTAGAAAGTTCTATTTTACAATTTATAATACTAAAGTTGTGTATGTTGCTTATGTTTTTAACAACTGTTTATATTTAAAGAAACCAAATTTATTACTCTGTTTTGAAGGTTATGACAATCTACCATGGAACATTTTGTTTATAATCAGATCTTCACTTTTAGAGTGTGTGTGTGCTCTGATTTAGTATATTTTTGTAATTAAAAAACAATAACATTGAACTAGTTCTGTAATGATATGGTACGATTGTATTGCTCTCAGCTGATGATAGATTTTGGAGAAAGACTAGTTAATTGAATTGTGGGGTGGTTGGGTGGGAGAAGCAAAAGATTGTTGTTAATGGAGTCCATTCAAACTGAAACCTTGTTACTAGTGAAGTGTGTTTGGAGTTACTGAAGTTTATTCATGGCATTAAACTCATTAGTATTTCTAACTGTATTGATGATGTTGAAGTGTTAGAGAATGTTTTGGATGTCAGTTGGTAAGTTGGACAAATAGTGGCAACTATCTTAGTTTTATTAAGAGAAAGATAATGTATTTATGTAATCATAAGTTGGATCACGTTTGACGTACGTGGGAACCCACTCGATAACATGACTGAAGAATAGTATCTTGGCATATAGGTGGATATGTCACACAAGCCATTGAAGCAATGCTCTTGCTAATAATAAATATTATAGGATTTTAGAATGTGTTTGTAGACATATTGAATGCCAGTGAAAAGAGGTTTTTATCTTTCTGTACAATCCACTAATGCTGTTGGGAAAACATATAGGTTCACAAAATCTATTAAAGAAAAAAATACATACCCTATAACCTGAGTGCTTTGGAAAGGTCCACAGTTCTTCATCAGTTTTGTTCTCCCTGTCTAAGAAAGGATATTGACTTACTTTAAAGGGTTTAGAGGAGAGCTTTTAGGATGATTTTTGAGATGGAAGGGTTATCTTAAGAATAAGTTAAGATCTTAAGGGTAAGAGGTGATCTTTATGAAGCTTACAAGAATATTTAGGGGATTAATAGAATAAAGGCATCTGATTTTTTTGCGCGCTATTTTTTAGATAATAGGATGAAAGAACACAAGATTTGGAAAAGATGGGCTAGACTGAACTTAAGGTAGCTTTATTTTTCTAGTAGGATAATTGACTTATGGAATGAGCTAATGTTGGCTGTAGTGGAGACTAGCACTATAAAAGAATTTAAGAGGGAATCGATGGTACTTAAAAATAAAGGATGGGTTGAAATTTTTACTTTTCTCAAGGTGTAATATGCACAGTCATCCTTGGCAGGCCAAATAATCCTTTGTTGTCTCTATGTTATGTTTTATACTATAAATTTAAAATTGTCTTTAATTTATTTAGCAAAGTGAAATCCCTGAAGATGAAGAGGAGGAGGATGAAGAGGATGTTCTTGGAGTCATATCTGTGGTAAACATGATGGATAAAAAGGTAAAGAAAGTAACAATATCTTAGAAATATCATAAGATTCTTCTGAAATTTTACTTTATTGGACATAGAAGTCGTAGCCTGGTTCCCAAACTAAGATTTTATGAAGTTCAAAATATTGGTTTGCTCTTGGCAAACAAGTATGAAACATAGAAGTTGCCCAAATTTTTTTCTGGGAACCCTAAGGAACTACAATAAATGAAACAGTGAAAAAAAATGGTTCAAACTCTCTCTTTAACACTTCTAACTCTTGCTTGTCAGTTCTCTTTGCAATAACCATAGAGAAGCAAGTAGACAAAGTATTGATAGAAATAAACATTTTTTCTTCTTAATGAAATGTGTGTAATAAGTAATGTTCCAGGTTTCACACTGCCCTTGAAATTGCTTTCTATATCTTGATCTTTTGGTCAATATTAGATCATATATCTTGTAAAACTTTCCAAATATCCTTTATTATCAATTTTTAAGGCCTTGTTTAAGCAGCACTAAAGTCCACTAGGGCTACATTGCCATGTATTTGGTTAAATAATATTGTAGTGATTATAGTTTGGCTATTCAACATGTTCCTTATGAAAACAGCTATTACCGTATTTTTTGGTGTATAAGATGCATTTTTTTACCTCAAAATTTGATGTCAAAATCTGCTTGCGTCTTATACACCGAAGGTATGAATAATATTTATGTATATATACGATATACACAAGCCATGTGTAAATATATTTAAATAGGCATGTATAGTTTAGTTCAATTGAATGTGTTATTTATAACAATAGTAGTTTTTTCTTTTAAAAACATAACTATTTATAATGCTCCCTAAATAATGAAAAAATAAATTACAGTGAAAGCAATGAAGATTTTGTAGGTTTTGAACTAAACTAAATAACAGTAAACCTTTTTTTGATTTATGGTATTTTCTTATT